TATTCTACATGATTGGCCGACCACATCTCGCCTTTCACAAAAAAAGTAACAATAATTTGACAACATATCCACACGACTGGCCGACCACATCTCACCTTCCATAAAATTCCACGGAGAAGTTTATTTCAACAGCCAAAGCTTGTAAATCACCCCTAAGTTCAGGACTAGTTAAGGTGATTCTACATTATACGGAAGCTCTATTACCGATTCAACGAAACTTAATTAACATAATGTACAGAAAACTTCTCTCTGCTTCCTCCGTTAGAAGTGAGCTTCCAAAATACCTGAAGTGGACAGATGATGCGTTTAATAACACATAACATCCAGTCCATCTTAAATTACCGTTACACAGATGATACGTTTAGTACAACATAACAACCTGCTGTTATAAATCACTGTTACAAAGATAATAGTACCACATAACGTACAGGTTAATGCTAACGACTCCACTGCACACTTAGGGAGGCAAATAGGCAAAGTAATAACCAGTATTAAAAGTAAGAAGTCCAGGTTTCTGATCAAAATTCACAGGCAAGAGTATAAATGGAGATAATCCAGCTGCAATGATGAACGTTTGTTCATCTACACTCCCGGTAAAGGCACAAGTTATGTTGGGACACTAATTACTTTACTTTTAAGGAAAGAACACAGTTTACTATAACCATCCACCAAATCTAATATGATGAATGCATGTAAAAAAGTGCGTAATTTTTCTTGTAGTTCCTAATTATGTTTTATTTGTCTCATGCCCTTTCCTCCTCTGTCTACCCAACGGCACACCTTAGTGCCAATTGGGCAAAATTAATAATCATCATCAAGGATGAAAGGAGCTACTCAATGGCACACTTTACTGCCTATTGGCGAAAATTAATAATCATTAGCAAATATGAAAGGAGCAATTCTTTTGGTCAACCTTGTAATATTCTTTCAGTCGTCTAGTCAATAATTAGAAAATAAAAATATTGTGTGTTCTTGAGCCAGTAGAAGGATGATCCAGGAAAAGAAATCCCGCCAGTTTGTATGCCATCTCCATACTACCGAGGCACAACATTATATTATTGATCTTAGTCATAGGTGTTGTTCATTGTATAGTCCTGATTCGTTGACGCCGGTCACAATCAAGAACTTTTCTTAAGAGTGACTATTCGGACGTTGAAGTCACTAAGGCAATGTGAAATCAAAATCAATTCTCTGAGTGTGTATGTTGGGGTTTGGCATATAGCTGTAACGACCACTCCGGTTACATGTGAATGGGGCCCAGATGTAAGTTTGTTGGAAGAGAGAACTACATGCACTTCTTGGATGCCGATGAAAAGAGTC